GGCGGAGGGCGGCCCGGGGCAGAGCGGGGCCGGGGTCTCGCGGAAGGTCCGCGCGGCCTAAGCGAAGGGCCGCCGCGCGCCGGGCGCTCCCGCACCTGGTAAATGGCCGCCCAGCTCCCGGCCTTGTCGATCTGCTCGAACTCCTTCTCCATCTCCATGACGGGCCAGGGCGGCTGCCGCGCCTCCTCCTCGGCCCGCTGCGCCGTCCGCCGCTCTAGGCCGCGTCGCCCTCTCGGCCCCGAGCGCACCGCGCCTCCACTCCCGCCGCTACCGCCGCCCTAGCCGCCGCTGCTTCTTCATGTCAACCCGGCAGCCGGAAGTACGCACCGCGCTGCCGCGGGCTCCGCCCCTCAAGCGGGAGGACCAATCAGCGCTCGAGAATGTCGGCAAGCACTTCCGCGGGGCGGGGCCGGGGGAGGTGCCGAGGGAAGTAGCCGCAGCCCCGCGAGACATCTCGCAGCGTGCGCTGCCTCCTCCCCTGCGGGGCTCCCGGCATGGGCGTGGCGGGCGCCGTTGTCTAGGCAACCCCCGGGAGCCCCGCCCACGGCGGGTGGGTTTGCAATGGCCCGGCGGATCTTGAGTTCGAGCCTCGATGCCGCCCGTTGAGTCACACAGTGACCTTGAAGTGGTCATGCATGTTTCCTGCAGCCCCAGGGTACTGGCCTCAGTGCTCCATGCTGCAGTATGGGCGGAGGGCTGCATGCTCCACTTCCTGCCTCCCACCTCTGGTTAGATGTCTGCCCTTTTTTCGTGCTTCACCAGGCTGCTGGGGAAGGCCTATTGCTCTCTGAGGGTACTGTCCTTGCGTGAAACGGAAGATTTCCCTTGGGGGTCTCCTATCCTGGGCGCCATAGGAGAGAATGGATGGGGGTCTTGGGATGATTTTCAATATTTCCCAGAGTAGCAAGGAAATCCTGCTCAGACTGGACTCAGTAGAGCACCCATTCCATGGTGCATCAGTGTGTTCAATAACGCAGATTTCTGGACCCACTTCCAAAGGGTTCAGATACCAGGAATCTGTATTTTTCACCAGCAACCCCAGCTAATTCTATACCTGTGGTCCTTGAAGCACATATGAGAAGGGCTGATCAGGCTGCCTTTCTGCGGGTTCCACCTCAAGCCATCCAGCTCCCAGCCTGGCACATGGTATGGAGATTGTGAACTCCATCACGTCAGAGAACCTAGAAGACCGAATCTCTGTTCACTGTTCCCGTCTCAAGCCTGCCCAGAGCAGCTGCCTGGGGTCACTGGTTGAATTCCAGCTCATTCCTTGAGTGCTTTTGGCAGGCACTGTGCATGGCATTCTGTGTACACATTCTCATTTAACCTCTCCAACAACCCTACAATACAAGCACTATTACTGTTCCCATCTTATAGATGAGGAAACTGAGGCACAGGGAGGCAAAAGTCACTGTCCAGAGTAGCATTGGTCATTGGGTGGAAGCCAGCATTCTAATCTAGTCTCCAGGGGAGTGCTTGCTTTGGAGCCAGGCTGCCTGGGTCCAAATTCCAGCTTTACTACATACTAGCTGTGCAACCTTGGGCAAATTACTTGACCTCTCTCTGCCTCTCTTCTCTCCTTTGTAAAATGAGGATAATAGAAGTACCTGCCTCGTAGGGGCAATGTGAAGATTGAAGGGGTAAATATAATGCTTTTAGTATAGTGAGTAGATCAATAAATAGCCCTCATTATTATATACCTTCGAATAATTGCAAATGGAGAGGTAAATAAATTCTTATTGAATAAATGCAATTGCTTTGATAGGCAATGTCTTTAGAAACTGAGTATTCCATGGTGGGGAAATTAACAGAAGACCATTCTGGTGAAAAGTTTGGGAAACCCACACCTGGAAGCTGCCTAATTTATGCCTTAGCCATGTTAGTGACTCTCCAGGCTGATGTACTCTTCCTGCCCTGGTTTATCTGAGTGCTAGTTTGTCTGAACTCACAGGGCTGAGAGCTCCTTGGGGGAAGAGAGAACAGGGTGGGCTCATTCGTATCTCTGTGGGCTGAGCTAAGTCAGTAAATAAATAAAATGCCCATCTGGAGCCCAAGTGGCCCTTAGGCCCGCAGGGAGGGCCACCCAGTGACTGCAGTGGCCTTTGAGTGGGGCCAAGGCTATGCACAGGATCTTGGTGGGGGAGAGGGGGCTACAGGAGGCTAAAGCAGGGTTCAAGTTTGGGCTGTTTAGTGACTGTGTTAGTTTCCTAGGGCTGCTGTAACAAATCACCACAAATTTGTTGGCTTAAAACAACAGAAATGTATTTGCAAAGTTCTGGCGGCCAGAAGTCTGAGATCGAGGTGTTGACAGGGCCACACTCATTCTGAAGGCTCTCGGAGAGAATCCTTCTTGAAGCTCCTGGTGGCTCGTGGCAGCATCACTCCAGGTTTTTCATGGTTTTTGCGTGGTTTTCTTCTCTGTGTCTTTTCCATCTGTCGGATCTCCCTCAGCCTCACTCTTATAAGGATGCCTGTCATTGAATTCAAGACCCATCCTAATCCAGGATGATTTGGCTGTCCCAGGTAATCCAAGATGCTCTCATTTTAAGATCCTTAAATTAATTACATCTGCAAAGAGCCGTTTTCTGAATAAGGTCATGTTCCAGGTTCTGAGGGTGAAGACTTGGACATACCTTTTTGGGGGGCCCCCACTCAACCTACTATAGTGGCAGAGGGTGAAACTTTGTCACAAATACTGATTCTGAAGGAAACCCCTAATTTCAGGTATCCGCTAATCACCATTATATCCGTTCTTCACATAGCAGCAGCCAGAGAGAGATTTTAATATTTGGATCATGAAACTCTTCTATGTAAAATCCTCCAATAGTTTCCCATCTTTTTTAGAATGAAACCCAAATAAAGTCCTGACCCTGGCCCATAAGACCCATGTGACCTTGTCCCTGCCCACCTCCTCAAACTCTCTTCTCTTCTTGTACTCCACTCCAGTCCAGTCCTCTAATGTTTCAAACTAGTTTCCACCTCAGGACCTTTGCACCAGCTGTTCCCTCTACCTGTTCCTGTCTAGCCTCCGGACCATTCTTGCAGATCTTCTCACCTTTCAGGTTTCGGGTCAAATGTCACCTCTACCGACAGATCTTCTGACCACCCTCTCTACAATAGCCCCCAGTCACTCTCTACCACAGACCTTGTTTTTTGCATCATTGCACTCTTCTCTGTTTAAAATTCCCATTTGTTTATTTGTTGGCTTGCTTCCTTTTCCTGCCCCCCATTGTAATCTTCCATGAGGGCAGGGCCCTCAACTTCTCATCCGTGTTCCAAGCACCTGATATTTGGCCTGGAGGAGGGGCCCGAGGTGCTGGGATCCTCCTTGACTCTCCGAGGCTTAGCTTTCATCTGGAGACCTCTGCCGGTTCCCAGCCAAGGCCTGGTATCCTCCGGAGATGTGATAGCGATGACTGGGAATCTGTCGGTGATGACTGGTTAGAAAATAAACAAATGGCAGTGTGTCGTGATGGCTAAAACCTTTTCCTGGCAGGCGTGCCTGAGGACGGTCTCACGCGGCTTCTCAGGCCTTCCCTTCGAGGATTTAGCTAATGGAGGAAATCAATGACTCATTAAACTTTTAAAAATGTCCGAAAGAGTTGTTGGTGGAGAGGGATGGCTGTTTACCAAGCCTCCAATGGATCATCAACTCCTAACTCAGCAGTGTCAGCAAGTTTCCCGGTAAAATCCGTCCCAGTCTCTTTTCTGGGAGACAGCGCAGTGTTGAGAGCTGGGGAGGCAGAGCCAGAGCAGACTGGTCCCTGATGAACTGTCACTTCCGCAGGGAGGCCCCTCCTGACGCCTCCTAATAAACAGAGCCCTGTCACTCCGTCCTTTTTCTGCTTAGCACTTATCAGGCATTCGAGGATGTACCTTCTACCCCTGTTACCACGTGGTGTTATGTAATGTGTTTGTTTCATGTGTTTATCGGCCGTCTCCACTACTAAATGTAAAGTGCGTGAAGAAAAGAAACTAAGTCGATTTGGATCAATGCTGTCTTCCTTGAGCTACGAGTCATTCCCAGATGAGAGCATGAGTCCTTGGAAGGTTCCAGAAACCAAGATGACAGGGCTTCTTTCCACCTCGTGGACTCAGCTCGAGGGTCCTCATCATCCAGCTCCCTCTGTCCACCAGGGAGGACACACAGCCAGGAAGGGAAGTGGCCCTTCCCTCTGAGACTCACACATGCTCTCCTAGCAGAGTTTGGGCGCCTGGACTGGTTGGCTGATGTGGGGTCAGCCAGAGACATTCCCTGAGGTGGGATAACTCGCCTGGGACCACGCCCAGGCCCACAGCACCGGAAACTGGGTTCACAGAGCTTCGGCCTCCAGCCACGGCAGCGCTAGGCAACAGTGTTATCTTGCATTTTACATTTCCCAGCAGCCCTGCAAGCCTCGTGTTATCCCATTTTGCAGATCAGAAAATGGCTGCTCAGAGAGGATAAGGAAGTGAAATCAATGAACGTCCAAATACAGAGTGCTGGCCTGAGCACAGCAGGTAAAAGCTTCTAAACCCTGTGTCTGCTACTTACTAGCTTTCAGGCCTTGGGCAAGTTGCTTAACCTCCTGGGGTCAGCCCGGATGGTTTCCAGTAAGAAAAACCCAACTGAAAGTGGCTTTCACAAAATGGGGAATTTACGGCCTCACGAAACTGGGAAGTCCAATAGGGGCTTGCTTCAGGCACAGCCGTATCCAGGGGCTCCAACCATGTCATCATGACTCTCTCTCTCTCCAGCTCTATCTGCTTCCCCCATGTGTTAGATTCACTCTCAGGCAGGCTCTCCTCCCGAGGGAACCAGGATGGCCCCAGCAGTGCCAGGCTCACATCCTGCCAGCTCAGCAACCCCAAAGAAAAGAGGGCTTCTTTTCCCTGGTGGTCCCAGCACAAGTCCTGGCTTTCAATCTCATTGGTCCAGTTGAGTCTCACAAGCCATCTCTAAGCCAGTCTCTCTGTCCAAGGGAAATATTGGCAAATGAAGAAACTGAGGCCCAGAGAGGTCAATTTCTTAACCAAGGTCACACAGCTATAAGTAGTGAAGTGGGATTTAGATATAGGCAGTCTGGTTTCAGCATCTGTGCTCTCAGCCGTGATGCTCTCCAGTCTCTCCAAGAACTCTCATAAGCTCTAAACAAATAATAACAACAATGAAGAGATAATAATAGTAAACATAATTATTACTTACAACAACATGGTGAAGCCTGTACTATTATTATCCCACATTTGAACTGAGGCACAGAAAGGTTAAGCAACTTGCCTCTGGTCACACAGCTAAGAAATGGTGGAACCAGGCTTTGAACCCAGTTTAGCTCTAGGGGCTG